TGTCCATAGGTGTGTGGATTTACATCTTCCTCATTCTTATGCCTCTTCTGGGTCAGGAAGAATGCATCAACCTCACCTAGCACCACAAAACTGGCTTTATTACTCTTATCAACATAGTAAACCCTTTAAAGGATTCATTCTTCATGGTCCTCTCATATAAAATCAATTTTCTCAATAAACTTGATTCATAATTTCTTGAGGAAAGGTTTATAAACAATCATCCATTTCATTACTTATCATGTATAGAGGATGAATGAAGATATATTTTCATCAAAGTAACTTATGCAGGAAATAAATACTGAATTGCTAAGTCTTCCAAATAAAATAATACAACTGCCCATTTGTAGAAGAATGGATGAAACCAAGTGGCTGATGTCCACACACAATAGGTTGTGGGTTACCAATAAAAATGAAACACCTAAATGGTTAAACAATATGGATGGCGGTGGTGGTGTGTGTATAAGTGAGTGAATGTGAGTGTGTGTGTGTGTGTGTGCGCGCATGCGTGCTTGTGCACGTACTTCCTTTCTTTTGATTAGAAGAGTAAGAGTACTGGAATTCACAGAAGACGGGAACTGGGTGTAGGGAAGGCTGCCATGAATGTTCTGCTGCAGAGTTTGAGATGAGACTTGATGATTGGGTCTGGAGGAAGAGAGATAAGGTCTGCCAGTAGCCTACCTGGATTTCTGGCAGGCATGGCCTGTGGTTTAATGGGGGAGGGCACAGGGGTTGGAGGCTGGGATACAGTGATGAGTTGGGGGTGGGAAGTTAGGAGGGGATGGTCTGTGGAATCCACAGTGGAGAAGGGTGGCTGCAGTTGGTATTCTGTTGCAGTGCTAGGGATGGGAGTGAGGGATTGGATCTGGGGCAGCAGAGAGACTCATTTAACATTTTAATCGTCTCTCGGTATCATAGCTTTACACACACACACACACACACACACACACACACACACACACACAGTATTTACAGGGAGGTCAATTCAACAATTTAGTTATAAATTGTAAAGACACAATTCAACAAGTGAGAGTTAAAGAAAGGACTGAACAGCTTTCCTTTCAAAGGGACCCTCAGCGATTCCATCTGAGCATTGGTAGGCCTGCTTGGTAGAAGGAAGTATGAAAGTGTGCTAAGTCACACCTATGAGATGCAGAGGGTTCTTGCTGACCTTTCGTTCTCAGTGCTTTAAGCTTGCTCATTACCGTTTTCTGCCCTGCATGCATGCCAGTTTAACTATGTTTTGTGGAGGCTACTGGTGAGTGTCCATCTGTCATTGGATCAGGAGTCTGGAGGAGTTCCTCCACAGTTGTCCAGATGACTGGCAGTTGATGAGCAGCATAGGCAATAAGGTAGGGAGTCCTTAGTGTCTCACCAGCCTGCTCAGCCGAAAGAGAGAACCGATGATGTCAGCGTCACACAGACACTGCAGTTTTGAGGGCCTGCCTGTCTCAATTGCTCATCCTGTTTAACAAGACTGAAAAGGCTTTGTTGGTGATGTCAATTCTCAGGACAGTCTAAAACCTGAACAAGGCAGAAACCGTTGGAGGAAGAAATGAAGGGCCAGAATAGATGCTAATAGTATCCAGAGCAGTAGTATTATCACCCAGTTACTAAACGGATAGCATGGCAAATGCTTGAAATTTTGGTTCAGCTTTGCTTCATTAAAGATTTTGAATACTGTGCTGTGCACTGTGGGAAATAAACAAGATGTGATTTTTGTAATAATGTGATGGATTTTTAAGAACATGAAATTCTAAACTCATATATTCAAGTCTGTGATTTTTGAGACTTTAAATATTTTTCTAGGCATATTTTAATTACCAAGAAAATTCTTTTAGGGTATGCTTTCATTCTGAAGCATATTTAGAATATGTATCTGTGTATAAACATATATATATTATTTATATATTTAATTTTGGAAATAGCCAGGCTATGAGGAACTAAGTCCTATGAATAAGGTAGGTGATCAAAATGGAGAAAATTCTGTTTATCTAAGGAAGTGTGACTGTATCTCATGGAGTGTAACTTTTAGGGGGATGTCATATGATTTTAAAAGAGTTCCTCGCATATCGTATGGTATTCTTGCATTAAGGTTGTTTCTTAGAATGACCATGAAGTAAAATCCCCATTTACATATCAATGTTCTGATGGGCTTGTCAAAGTTCTAACTTCTTACACATGGAGACTGAAAAAGGCTTCAAATCTTTAGGAACTGCCAGGCAGGTGGTGGGGGCATAAATGTGGGAGGCAGAGAGTGAAACCTGGCATCTATCACTGGTGCTGTGGCAGGGTGGAGGTGACTGTGTGACATACTCAAGAAACTGGGCACGGACTGGATTCCCTCTTTAGCTTTCATATATGATGTCTTTCTGTCTGTTTGTCCCATCTGCTTTTCTCTATCGTATTTCTGTTTCCTTGTTGTTTTGCCCAGACTAGTTTATGAGTAGAAATCTACACCTCTGAAGGAGCGTGGCTGTTTCTGTGTGGATTCTGGCTTCCGTGGTGCTGAGTTTCCATAGAATAACTAGAAAGGGAAGTAAAGAAGGAAAGCAGTTGTCAAGAGAAGTTCTGAATGGCTTCTTAAGCAAATGAACAGCACTGACATGAGGTTTCCAATGGTTGATACATTTACTTTTTTAAAATTTCTTTTCCTTTTCTTCACCCCCCCCCATTTTTTTGAGGCAGGGTTTCTCTGTGTTGCCCTGGCTGTTCTAGAACTCTCTGTAGACCAAGCTGGCCTGGAACTCACAGATATCTGCCTGCCTCTGCCTCTCGAGTGCTGGGATCAAAGGTGTGCTCCACCATTGCCTGGCTGATAATTTCTTCCTAGTGCACAGTAGCGTTGTTGTCTACATTAGGGCTCAAAAGGCTTTGGACAAGGACTAGTGCACTCAGTTTTATTCTACATGGCATGTAGTGGAGTGCAGGAGGAGCCCAGTAAGGACCATGTCTTCTCTGATGCTATCCATGATCCTCTGCAGATGGAATCATTGCTCCCTGATTTTCATCTCATATCCCTTTAAATAAATAAACCTCACATCTGTAGTAAGCTTGAGCTATATAACAAAATGCCATTGTCTGCATAGATTAAAAAGGCATTTGTTCTCCCAAGTTCTTTTTTAAAAGTAATTTGTTTTTATTTTATGTTTATTGGTGTTTTGTCTACATGTATGTCTGTGTGAGGGTGTCAGATCTTGGAGTTACAGTTGTGAACTGACATGTGGGTGCTGGGAATTGAACCCCAGTCTTGTGGAAGAGCAGCCAGTCCGCTTAATCTCTCTAGCCCTCTCCAAAGTTCTTGGGGCTAGGAAAGTCAAGGTCTTGGGGATAGTCTGTCCTGGTGAGGGCTGTCTTTCTGTCTGGAAGATGACTGCCATCTTGCTGTGTCTTTACTTGGAAGATGGGGCTGGGCCTCTGGTGTTTTGTTTGTTTGTTTTGTTTTTGTTTTTGTTCTTTTATTACAGGAGCACTAGGTCTTTTAAAACAGAGTTCCACCATTATGACTTCATTTATCTTCAGTCACTTTCTTGGATCAAATACAGCCACATTGGGAGGCTTCAGCTTGTGATGGTTAACAATGACTGTCAACTTGGCAGGATCAAGAATCACCATGAAAACAAACCTCTGGGTGTGTCTTTGAAAGATTATTTAGATTAGATTAACTAAGGTGGGGCTATGCCACATATTGGTGTTTCTGATTGCATAGAAAGGAAAAATCTAGCTGAGCAACATTTGCTTTTCTCTGCTTTCTGACTGTGGAATACAATGTGACCAGCCTCCATCCACTTCTGCCACAGACTTCCCTGTCCCCAGCTCCTGGAGACCAATTACCTAGAGAAATGCTTCTTCAGGGTCAGCATAGCAGTTGCTGCAGCAGCGGTTCAAAGGATCCAGGCTCCATCCCAAATGTGGCATTGCAGTCCATGTGGACTGGTTTTGCAGGCATTACAGTTGCAAGGCAGAGGCAGCCATGAAATCTTATGCCACACTTCCAGAGAGCCAGGTAACGTGAGGCAGGAGCAAACTCCTTGCTTGGAGTTCCAGAGGGGGCAATAATGTAAAGGTGAAGCCTAAGTTACAGTGATGACCCCAGGATGCTGGAGATGTGACAGAGATTTCTATGTAGTCTCTACCTTTTATGTCAAAGTCACTGGATGATCCTCAGATGGATGGAACATGTTCTTTGAGACAAGAAAATGCTGCACACTAAATCCTGTCAATATTCCAAATGCACAGGAAAGAGAACTGCTGTAAGGAGGTAAAGAAGCATGGTTATTTATCTTTGTATATCCATCACTGGCACAGAATCTTGTCAGTGTTAAATTTAACAGAACAAGTGCAGACTGCATGGTTATTGATGTACTTCACAGTCAATCTCTTTGTCCTCTCCAGGAGCTAAAAGGACAGCTAGCCGAGGCAAGGAGCCCCAACGGCCCAAATAGGTGTGATAGATGGAAGGGCTAGAGAACAGAAAGTTCAAGGAACTCTCATTAGCTTACAGGAGGCTGAGGAGGACAGGCCAGTAAAGGTGATTACTTTAATAAGGTGAAATAGCCCAGTTCTCCAATGACTCCAAAAGGCCAGCTTATCTCTGCCTCCCACAGCAGTCTGGGGTTCTGGAGTAGGGTGTGAAACATGAGATTTCCTTTTGGTAAACATAGTCTGGTGCAGTGCAATAGTGGTGGTGTGTGGTGCAGCTGATGATATTCGGTTGTTAGCTGATGGAAGTGCTTTCCTCTGGGCTTTGTCAAGGTAGCTCCTTGAAAAGGAACAGCAATGACAGTTGGGAGTGATTTTAGGCCATTCCTTGATCAAGTGCTTTAACTCTGCCCTTTAGCCTGGGCGGTGGCATCTGTCATCAGCTGGGAGGCAGTGCATGCTCGCCTGGCCAGGGCAGTAGGGTTGGAAACTCTAGGGAGGAGCAGGCAAGGGGCGTGGTGTGGGCGTAACCATGCAGAGCTAGGCCACGCCTCTCTCGCCTTTCTCGCCTGCGCAAGCGCGCTATGAGCCGTTAGCTGTCAGGAGCCTAGCAGCGGGTGGCCGGATCAGACGTTCGTGCTGGGACTCAAGCTGTCTGAGCCCCGCGCAGCAACCACCCCAACAAGCAAGCGCCCCGAGGCCCGGACTGCCTGCCAGGTCACAGAGTCGAGCGGAGACCTGTGGGGCAGTTGGCCGCATAGGCAAGATGGGGAACCGGGAGATGGAGGAGCTGATCCCGCTGGTGAACCGTCTACAGGATGCTTTCTCGGCGCTGGGACAGAGCTGTCTGCTGGAGCTGCCGCAGATCGCCGTGGTGGGCGGCCAGAGCGCCGGCAAGAGCTCGGTGCTCGAGAACTTCGTGGGCAGGTGAGCGCACTGGGAGCGCGGTGGGGGCGCGGCCGTGGGGGCTCCCGTGCTCCAGGCCGTTGGAACGTGGAACAGTGTGGGGAGCCAGAGGGTGGACTAGAGGCTGCAGCGGGTTGGGGGAGAGCAATAGTGTCCCTGGAGCAGGTGGGGGTACACTCGGCTCTGACATCCTTCGTCCTCGCATCCTCCACCCTGTGGTGACCCCCTGTCTGCCTTTCATCCTGCCATACAAAGCCATTTCCTCCCCACCCTTGGTGGGGGAGTCGGGGTCCGCCCCAGAATCCACTTCCCTCGCTGGCTCTGTGCGCGCCAGCCCCTGGCAGCCTGGATGCGCAGCTCGGTGCTTTCCAGTCCCCTGTCTCCTCCTCGGTCTCAACGTCCCCCTCCTTTTCCTGTCACCCTTCTGAGGCTCTCAGCTCGGCTGAGGGGATTTTATCCCTCCTCCTCAGTTTTTTCCCCCTCGCCCTGGCTCTCAGATTCTCTCTACTGTTTGAGACAGGCATTGCCTGCCCCGAGCTGGGGAGGCAGGTTGTGTGGACCCAGAAATCTCTGTGGTGAAGGCTTATCCGGAGATGCTTGTCTACCGTTCGCCCAGGGAGCAGAAGAATAAACGGTGGTGTGTTTGAGTGTGCACCCATTCACTGCTCGGGCATGACTGAAAACCTGAGACCTCCGGGGGTGACTGTGGACTTTGCCATGTCATTCCTGCATCATCTCAGAACTGACCTGCATCTTTCTCTCACTCCCTCTGTGCCCCCTCCCCCCAGCATCCTCTTGCGTTCCTTAAGCTCTTGCTTATCCAGCTGGTCTTCAAGCTAACATACAGAATCCAAATTGTGATTGTAGCTTTCTTCATGTTTCCCAATTAAAAAAACAAAGAATTATTATCGTTTTAAATCGGGAATCAACGTTTCTTTTGGTGAGCAATTCCGGAAGGATTAGTTACCCTCCACGGCGGCCTTTCGTGAGGAGCGCACCATGAAGGCTGAAATCTGTTTCCTAGTAGTAAACCAGGTTGAAGGTGCAGTAGTGAAGCCTGTGGGCTGGGGAGGGAGCCAACCAGAGATTGCACTTTATTTTTTTATTTGGCTGGCGAGCCACTTGTGATGCAGAGGATTTCTGCTGCGGTCCTCCACCCCCCCCCCCTTTTTTTATTGCTTGGCAATGTGTAAACTGTAACGCTGACTATTCCCACATTTTTGGGTGTGAGCATCATAAAGTGCGTATTCCTTTTTCTCCAATGATGCGCCACCTCTCAGGAGATCCTCTTCATTTTCCTTGTTTCAATATGAACTAGGAAGATTAAAAAGTGGAACTGCTGGCAATTGGCTGCTATCCTTAGGTAGTTAGCCTCCTTAGTCATTTCCCTTGTTTTTGTAATTCATTTTGCTCAGTAAGAAAAGCGATAGCAAAACATTTTGCCTACGTCATCTCAGACTTCTAAGGCAAGGAGTTATTTAATGATAATTATGCTAAAAATCCTTAAAGGTTAAAACTGTGTTTCAAATGCAACAGCCATGCTTTTATACATTTTCCTTATAATTTCCTTGGATGGGTATATATTTTGGTCAGTGCCTTTGAGCAAAATGTAAATTCTGTGCACACATCTCAGTTCTGCTCTTCAGGTTTGAAAATCTGAACAGTCTTCTTAGTGCTCTAGTGCAAGTGTGCATTTCTCTTTGCCAGCTGTATTCTTTTGTAATGAGAATAAAAAAGGAGATACAGTAGAGTAATATATTTAATTTTGAACACTTTTTCTATAATTAAGCAAAAAATGGGAGCTAAAAAAATCAGAGCACTTTCCAGAATGCATCAGTAACTTGCTGTACTTTATAGAGTTTTACTAGTAGTTACTGCTGGGATGACAAGAAAATAATGAATCTGGATGGATATGCTCGGTAAGCAAGTGCATACAGACTTTATTAGCTGCAGGGTGGCCCCTGTCTAGCATGACTTACATATTAAGGAGAAAACTTAATTAGAAGGTCATTTGACTTTTATAAAGATTTTGGTCATTGAATTATTGAAGAATCTAATTTCTAATTATAATTCAACCTTAGGGGGAAAAATCTCTCTATTTTCAGAAATGAATCAACCCAGGTTGGAAAAAAAAAAGGTATTCTGTTTCACTATAACCTCTTAACGTTTTATTAACTAGCAATTTTATAACCAATATAAAGTTCTTTAAAATGCAGTAGTTCATCTCTACTCACAGCTGTTTTCATTTTAACACTTGACTGGTTGTGTAGTAACAGAGTATAATTGAGCACTAGGGTTTTCAGTTGTGTAAATTGTTTGCTTTTGAATTAAAATTGTTCTCTTTAAATACTGTTGCATTCATTTATTGGTTGATTTACCACTTAATACACCTTTAGTAGCTAACCATGTCTTCTCCTCAAAAACAGTTTGCTTATGTTGATGTTTTTAAATACCACTAAGTGAATTTAGATGTGAATGTGTTTATTTAACTGTATGTGTAAAACCAATTTTGGGGTGATAAGTTTGAGTTTTTTAATGAATAAAATGCATCATGAATGAACTCCTTGTTTGTGATTTTCTTGCTGAAGCGACAAATTTGCATATTAATGTGATATAGTGTGAGTAGCTAGATTGTTTTGATTATTCAAGGCAAGTCTATATGCTGGCAGTACTGCTTCAAGGTCTATGGGTCTAATACACAGAGAGTGAGACCTCTGGATTGAAAGAAGATAGGGGTTCACTACCAGACTCTGATCTGTCCATTCGTCTAGTTTATAAATGGAAAAATTGAATTCATTCAATTGCTTTCTAATTTATGTATTTATATGAACTTTCTTGCCCCTCCTCCTTCCAGTTGAATGCAGGGCCTTGTGCATGCTGGGAAGATGCTCCACCACTCAGCTGTATTTCCAACTCATGACCCCCAGCACTTTTTTTTTTAACAAAAAGACTTGAATCACTCTGCATCATTGGCAATCATTGAACTTGTGATAGTCCTCTTTCAACTGCTCAGTAACTGGGCTTTCAGGCCTGAGCCACCAGCATAAAGAAAAAGATCCCAAGGCTTGGCTCTAAATATGTATGCTTATCAGTCAATAATGATAAAATAATGGCTAATAGTTTTTGAGTGATTGCTACATGTTGTATATTGTCTTGGGTCCTTTTATATGGACAATCTCATTTAATCCTCATAAAACTCCAAAGAGGTAGGTACGCTCATTCATTTCATTTTACCTAATAGTAAATTAAAATGTAATGAGCTTGAGCAAATCACTCAGGGCTAATTTGAGCTACTGTAAAAACTTCATTTCAACCTGAGGTGTTAGAACTCTTTAGTCTAGCCTTTAAAACCTGTGCGCCATGCTGCCTTACCACATGGAGGTTTATCAATCCTTCTGGTTAATACTTTCAGCATCTTTCTTATTGGTCTTATAACTCTGGGCACATGAGCAAGAGACTGCTATATTGATAATTCTATCCCTATTATGTCGTGTACATCTACTCTCTCAGAAGTATTGATTAAAAGACACAGATTTTTATTTACTGTATTAGACATTCCTGAAGATAGCTCTGAAACATAATTGGGTTATTCCCTTAAGTGTGTGTTTAGACTGCATACAACTTGTTTACTGAGGTGCTAAGTGAAACTGTACTAGCTGCTAATGTGCAAATGTTTTTAATGATACACTTGTTAGCAGCATTAGTTGTTCAATGCTAATTATAAAGGCAGAAGATTTCATGTGATTTTATTCCAGTCTGAGTGGTAAACAGACCTCCATTTCTGAACAAGTACAAAAGGCTTTGTAGTTAATGGAAACCAGATAAAAGATTTTTTTAGCAGCTATTACTGAGGGGAGTTTGTTTCAACATGGAAATTTCTCAGTAATATTTATCTATTTACTTAAGAGGTTTATAATGAAGTAGGTTGTCCAGTTTGAGGGAAACTGTGAGCCATTTGATGATAATGATGGATATGATCAGCTAACTAAATCTACAATTTATATGGCTCAAGCGCTAGCTCTTAACTCCTTTGACAGATTTCATGAACATGTTTAAAATTGAGGAAGAATCCTCTAATTGTGAACAAAATTAAAACTTATTAAACCAGAGTACGCTCGTATTGAGGGGAAGGATTTTGTTAAAATTGCAAAGCATGTAAGTTACTGGAGTTTTTTAAAAAATGAAATGGCTCTTAAGATTATAGTTATTAGGTTAATGGATGCCGACAAGTAAAATGTGATACCTATTGAAAATTATGTTCAGAAAATTCCAAGGAATTATTCAGTAAAATATGAAAAATGTGAACTGTTTTTTATCTAACGATTTGGTGGAACCTGAAGTTGTGAAGTTATCTGTTCTGAATCAGCATTATATAATGCCTTTTAAGGCCACCGTCAGTTCACAATTAGTGGGATTTATTCACCACCACCATTCCTTATTTAAATACCAGTAATGTCTGAAAAGAAATATGGCTAAGTGAACTGGCTTTGATAGAGCCGTCTTTGTATTTACTTATGATTAACCATTACAAAGGTGCTGTTAACATTTTAAAGAATGAAGGTGGAGGGTTGAGAAGATGGTTCAGTGATTAAGAGCACTTGCTGTAAACGTGTGTGAACCTGAGGATGGATCTCAGTGCTCACAATAAGTTAGGTATGGCTTTGGGTGACTGTAACCCCAGAAACAGGTGTATCCTGGGAACTTGATAGTCAGCCACTCTAGTCGGAACTACAAGTTTCAGGTTCAGTGAGAGACCCCATCTCAAAAAATAAGAGGGAAAGCAATAGGTGAAGATGCCTGCCTTTGGCACGCACCCACATGTGCATATGTGCACACAACCCCCCCACTTATACATACATGCAAATGATAATAAGCAAAGAATGAGGTTGGGGCAGGCATAGTATCTCAGGCCTATAATGTACTTGGGATGCTGAGATATTGTGAGTTCCAGGGGAGCCTGCGCTGTAATGTGAAACTCTTTCTCAACACTTGTCCCACAAACCACCACCACTAAATCACAA